GCTCTGCGCTCACTCTGCATGCTGTTACCAGAGCAGGGAGCAGCAGCGGTCAAAATACCTCAGAAACTCAAACAAATAGGCTTTAACAAGGCTTTAATAAGATAAATAATAGAGCTACATTACAAAACGTGTTCATAACTAACAAAAATAAATTGATAATTAAATTGTGTCTGTGCTGGTCTTGTACCCTGGTCTCTGGTCCAACACTCTACCCATTGCCCTATTGGAGACTTGTTGTGAACAGAGCTACACATTACACAACAACACAGTGACGACTGTTTACACTGAGGAGGAGGAATCTCACCCGAGGGTTGTTAGGTAAGGGGCTGAACACAGGTTCTGGTGGGTTGTCGTACAGCTTGTGACATCACAAAATGTAGGAAGTATAAAACTTGTCGTTAATATACATTAAAAACACATTTACTTTAGGGTTGGGCATAATCGTATCGTTTGCAATTAATGGTCAGAAAAACATTAATCGATTATTTTTGGCACTTGACAATTAACACAATTAATGCCAGCAGGCAGAGTCCACTCGGTGCTCCTCTCTGCTTCAAATATGACGAACTTTTTAAAAAAAGTTCAGTAAATTATCTATCAACACAATTTAAAATGTGATGTATAACCTGAAGTCTGTCATTTTAACAGTTTGGAACAGATTTGTATGAAGAGCTAATCTTTCCCACTAAACTGGTCATGTGACATAAGGATGTCCAGGGACTCCAGGGGATTAATCGTGAAATTAATCGTTATTAACTAAATACCACAATTAATCCTGATTAATTTTTTGCCAATATAGCCCAACCCTAATTTACTTACAGTAAATATGCCCCCGGGTGCATTGTTTTGGTCCTAGTACTGTTTTTATTTAAGAAGTACATACCCAAAGATGAGTAAAAAATAACTTTAAAAAGTGAATTTTCATGATAGTTCCCCTTTAAGTTTTTGCAGAATATAATTAGATTGAAATTACTTTTTTAGATTGAAAATGCTCTTTTGTTTGTTTGAATAAAAACATAATTTAAAAAAGAAAAAAAGTCAATATTTAAAATAACATCTTTCAGTTCATACAGCTCTTTAAAGTCTTAACATCCAACGTTTCTTGTCAGCCGTACCAATCCTCTCACAGCAGCTCATTGAAAAATAATCATTTCTGAGATTATTGAGTCAGATTATAAATCTTATTTAGAGATCAAAGTCTAAAATAATCTCATCATGTTGACTCCAACAGAACTGGTACCAAGCATGGGTCTTAAACTACATTAAGATTTTTTCAAATTAAAACTACAAAACTTTAAACTTCATACTGAAAACTATAAATGTACCAAGATCAGAAAGTACGTGTAGAGAAGTACTCACAGGAGGAGGTTGGTATGCAAGTCTTTCCTGCAACAGCCACACATAAGAATAAGACTTACTGCTGTGTATATATTACAGATTACCTAATCTGGATTAATAATTTAAAGTGGAAATGTGCCTCACCTTTATCTCCCAGCGGAGAGCCTTCCTGTCACTTTCCCCAGGAAGTTTAAACATTTCCCACATCTGCTTGTACTGGAAATACCTGCAAAGACAACAATAAAATAATACATGAAAGTACCACTTAGGTGTCACAAAAGTACAACTTTAGAGCTGAAGTGACAACAACAGTTAATCTCTTCATGAGTTACTTTCTTACTGCTGTGCTGGAATTACAGTGATCCAGCTGTTTTACCCCCCAGTACTGGTTTACACTGGGCCCCCCACCTGACGTCAGTGTGTGGTGTGTTCTCCCTGTGCACAGGTGGGTGTTCTCCTGCTGCACACGCTTCCTCCCACAGACCAAACCGTGCACGTTAGCTCAGCTGCTAAACTGCACTTTGTCACACCTATAGGCAGGGTTCAACAAGGTTTTTTTTTACCTGCCCGAAACAAGTGTTCAAATTTTGATCAAATAAGAACAACGTGTACTGTACTTTGTACTACAAAAATATTACCATGGTTATACAGAGGAATATAAACAGATGCAAACATTTTAGACTGAGTTACTAACAGTTAATTGTTTTATCAAGAACATCTTCAAAACAGTGTTTCCCTTAGAGAACTGGCCTTGGGGGCGGGGCTTATAAAAACAATGATCAGCAGCAGCTTTGTTTTAAATACAATTTACAGAACATGAAACAGTCTGAAATTTACATTAATTAAACCTTATTTAGTGAATCTCATATCTAAAGATACATTTAAGATATGTTGAACTGGAGTCTCCAAACAACATGATGATAAATCTGATGTTATTTATACAAGTCAGAATATAATTAGACATTTATTAAAGAGGTATTTTGAATTGTTAAAATATATTAAGAGATGTCTGTTTATTTGTTTCTTTCTTTCATTCATAAAAACAAAATAATATGTACAGCATTAAAAAAACTACAGTTGTTAAACAAACTACAGTTGTTAAACAAACTACGTTGTTAAACAAACTACGGTTGTTAAACAAACTAC